TTCCTCCCTTTATCCCTCTTTTTCTTTTCATTAATGCCCTTTCAGCTCCAGGCAGTCCTGTGTCAAAAGGTATTTCACCCAGATTTGTTTAAGTGGCTCTGACTGCCCGATAAAAAAGATATTCCTTTCATCATTCATCACCATCCTTTTCTACCAACCCCACTGTCTCAAAGCCTCTAAAAGTGAATCCACTGGCCTCACACAAAGTCTAAGAGGCCATACTGTACCTTTACTGAAATCCTTCTATGGTGATTTCCATCTTCTTTTCCCTGTCCTGTCAGCTCACGCTCATATCATTATTGATGCACTCGCTCCACTTAACCTTCAAAGTCATTCTCTGGTATTTGATGTCAAAGGCATTTAGTCTCATTTCGCCTACTTTTGTGAGCTGGTGTGTTCCTACATCATTCATCCACATGGATCTCAGCAGTATCAAGCTTTTTTGACCTGTAGAAAGTCCTTGGATGTTTTTAAAGGACTCCTCTAACTTCTCTGACAAATAATGATCATTAAGAGATTAATCGACACTCACTGATTAGACAGTTCAAAGACAATATAGGCTTCACAAGAACTAACAACGTCCAAGACTTGGAGGACATTGATTGAGTATTTAGGTATAGAAAAATTCAGTTTAGACGGCTTGGCTGAGAACCAGCCCCCAGGTCATAGTACAGTATGAGAAGGCTCAGACCCCATGCAGAGTAAGGAGCTAACCAAGGAGTAGCTGCTACTGTAGGTGGAGATGGGGTGAAGGAGGGGTGTTATCAGGAAAAATGTAAAAAGAACAAGGTATATTTTTTGTATATTATATACAGCACAGTATTGAGAAATGACACTGTGAGTGATTAGAATTTAGTGGAGTACTGTATGAGCAAAAGACTTCCCTCCCAAACACTGGTTAAGAACAGTTAAGCAGAGAATGTGTGCATATCTTTTCCACATTTTTAATGACATAAAATGGGTTATTCTTTTTGAGATTATCTCTGTCATAATTATGTACATTTTACACACACTGTATATTGTACAGGATATTCTGTTGAAATCTGCATTTCTTCATTTGTGATCAAATGGCACTGTCTTTAAATCCAGTTAACAGTTCTAAAAGAGTTGGGTTTAAGATGCCTTTGGATTGCCATTTAAGATTATTTTAACTGTATTTCTAAAGTTAGATAATCCTGGGTTGTACACCCTGTAGCTACTGCCAATGTATCTGAAGTGATCTGTTACATTCTTTGGCCATATTAAAATGCTTTAATTACTCTAGATGTGCAGCGTTATTTATAGCTGATATCATAGGAACAGGTGTTATTGCAGTGATGTTTCTTCTTATAACATTGGGATTAACGTTTGAGATCAAGAGCAAGATCCTGGCTATCCAAGCACCTTCTCCATGGTAGCATTTCCCTGGGCAGCATTCCTGAAATCCATGGAAAGTAATGGATCCTCTAAAAACCCCTTGGCTACACACGGCCTGCTGCAATCATTAATGCTCATAGTATTATATGCACTGTAGGAGGTACAGTAATCATATTAATTGCTTACACTTATATAGTGCTTTTCTGGACACTCCTCTCAAAGCGCTTTACAGGTAATGGGGACTCCACTCCACCACCACCACTGTGCAGCCCCACCTGGATGATGCGAGGAGGCCATGATTGGTAATGGAAAGGTTGGCCTGGATGCCGGGGTTACACCCCTACTTTTTTCCGAGAACATCCTGGAATTTTTAATGACCACAGAGAGTCAGGAGCTCAGTTTTTGAAACAAAGCATAAAAATATAAAACCCCAAAGAACATACTGTATACGTAATGAAATGGAAAACTGATGATAACAATGACGGCCATTCTACATCACTCCGTCACAGACATTATTTGTGTTTTGCTGCCACCTTGTGGCTGAAAATAATAATAAACTTTCTCCTAAAACCAGTGGCTGGTTACAATACAAAAAATATTGTTAAATATTACGCAAGCGTCTGCATTTCTTAAACAAAGGCAAGAGCTAATGATGTATAGTTGCGTACTCATGTTAAGTAAGAGAACTCTGACACAGGTTTGTACAAGGTTTAAGTTTATTTGAAAAAAAATTCATTTAAAACATAATCATTTTACTATATTCATTTGGCATAACATCAACAGAAAATGAATGTGTGCTCACCGCTTCTCTGCCCATTATAAACAAGCAGTGCTTTTCCTGTTATTTGTCTTGTGAATTAAATATAATATTATTTGTGTTTTCTGTGGTTCTGTTATTTCAGCTTATACAGTAATATTATTTTGACAAGACTGGAAAGAGTGAGTTTACAGGTTTTTCAGGTCTCTTTAAATGCTAACCTGTTTAAGACCTGTGCAGAAGGGTTACAGAAAATCAGTGTTGTGCTTAAAGTTTAGCTGGACCAGGTACTACAGTACATGGAAAACTGAGGTGGTTTAAGATTTAAAGAGACAAGGAAAACATGAAAAACCCCAAGGACCAGGACTAGGAAGCCAGTATAGTAAGGATACAAAGGAACAAGTAATAGGTTTATTCCATGCTGAAAAAAAGAAGAAAGAATACACAACATTAAAGCCGTGGAGCCTTCTTCAAATGTGACACCTGAAGAAGACTCCACGGCCGAAACGTTGTGTTTTCTTTCTTTTTTTCACCATGGAATAAACCCATTACTTGTTCCTTTGCAGCCTACGCATGCTGACGCAGCTACCCACCTGAACTAGTAAGTATACATTTTGATTCAAAACATACAATGTTCCTTCTGCAATATACTTCTAAAATACTACTTCTCAAACAGATAGGAATCAAACACTGAAGAAATCAATTTCAGTATTAAACATGTGGTGCTCATCTGTTATCCACTGTCTGAAGATGAGTGACCAATACTGTGATTCTGGGCAGTGTGGTGTGGAGTTAGTGGAATAGTGCCTCTCCTGTACAGCATGTTCACAGCCTTCCACAGTCAAGAGGTCAACTTTGCACTTTTTGAGTCACTGCTTTTGAGTCAAACACACTGGTAAGGTTTGTAAATAGGCAGGAATGCTTAATATTATTTCACTATATCTTTCAAAATAAATAATATAGAAGATTATCCCTATTTGATAAAGTACACTGCTATTACGTTTTGCAAAACCTTTTGTGTACACAATGGATTCTTTATGTTTTTTGTCTTTTCTTTTTCCTTTTCATCTCTTTACCATAACAACAGTGTTATGTTGTTATGATGCGAGGAGGCCATGATTGTTAATATGTTATATTGTTAAATATAATATTGTTAAAATCCTAGTCAAGCAATATATTAGTCTTACTATGTTAGACTAATATATTGCTTGACTAGGATTTTTATTTCTAAAATTCTTTCGTCCCAGAGTAGCAAAGGGACACATTTTCCATCTATAGAAGTGAGGTACCTTTTATATACCAGAGTAGCAAAGGGACACATTTTCCATCTATAGAAGTGAGGTACCTTTATTTTTTCACTATTTCAATTATGTAAAATTAATGTTTTAGATAAGGCTGATTTTCCCGTATGCGTATCCTTCTTCTAATAATAAAGCATTGTGTCCAGTTTGATGTCGGTCGGATTTAGGTGCTCAGGTACATCTGCAAGGCAGGTGTGAAAATTAAGATGGTGCCCAGCACAGACACGGTGAGAAACACCCAGAGGAAGATACGATCCAACACCTGAGCCACAAATTTCCAGTCTTGAACAACCTGAAAAAACAGGGGAGGGGGAGTTATTTTAAGTGAAAACTGTTAATTGACGTTACAGTTTTCTAGCTGTGATACTAAGGAATACATTGTATAAAATGTTCTTAATGAAACAAAGAAGATTGTATTGCATCACAAGTATCTAAAATTAAGCGAAAAACAAATATTTGCATAACTGATTTTTATTATTAGGAAATCAGCCATGTACTATATTAAGAAAATAATCATACAGCCTTTACCTGTAATACTAAAAGCAGAGCTGACGCATTCCTACCTCTCTGATGAAGTGCTCCTTCTTAATATGACTTGAAATATATCGCACCGAGTTAGTAGCTTTTTCCAAGAGAGTTAGCCATGCTTTATTTTCGTCTTCTTTCTCCGACAACAGTCTTTTTTTCCCTGTCGTCGTGGGCTTGACGTCAGGGCTGTTGAGGTCGATTTCGGGGTAGTGGTAGCGGTCGGTGTGACCCCTCATGCACAAGAGCTTGGGAAGCCTCTGGAGGAAGAGGTTTTTCACCCAGGGGGACATGGGGTGGTACGTGGCCGAGGAGCGGTGGTGCACGTTGATCACGAACACGGTGACGATGATCGAGAGGGTCACGAAGATCATGATGAAGAGCAGGTACTCCCCGATGAGGGGGATGACCTTGGAGGACGAGGGGATGATCTCCTCGATCACTAAGAGGAACACGGTGAGGGACACCAGGACGGAGGTGGACAGGGAAAGCTTCTCGCCTTCATCCGAGGGCAGGTAGAAGACGAGCACGGTGAGGAAGGACAAGCCCAGGCACGGAATGATCAAGAACAGCGTGTAGAACAGGGGCAAGCGCTTGAGGATGAAGGAGTACGTCACGAAGGGGTAGGCGTACATGCCGTCCTTCCTGTTGCCCTTCATCCCCGTGGCGTTCAGGATCTCCCACTCCCCGTTGTCGAAGAAGTCTTTGCGGTCCACGTGGTCGTCCACGAGGACGAGGTCGACCATGTTGCCGTCGTACGTCCAGGAGCCGAACTTCATGGAGCAGTTCTGCCTGTCGAAGGGGAAGAAAGTGACGTCCATCGTGCAAGAGCTCTTGTAGCTCGCCGGCGGAGTCCACAGGATGGTGCCGTTGGACCTTACTATCACCTTGGTCATCAAGGAGCCTTCGAAACGCCCATCGGCACTGAAGGAATAAGAGGAGAAACTCGGCATAAAAGGAAAAGCAAGTAGCCTGGCATACTGTATGCAATGCAGGGGTCCCTGTTATAAGTTACTATCTTACAGTATATATTTTCCCTGCACTTACATAGTTGATGCTGTGTGAGGGGAAAATATGAAAAAGTTTCCTACACTTAAGTTGTTTACATAAAATTCCCAACTCTTGTGCCTTTTATAAGTAGAATTTTTTTGTTCCCAGAAGGATAGGAATCTTCTAAGTCCTTTTCTTTATAGTAATCTATTGGTACCAATGGGAGGGGTTTCCATGCAATAAGTTACATTCTGTAGATTTTATTTTACTTTAATTTACAGAGAAGGATTGCCTTTTATACTGTAAGTGGTTTTGCTGTTGCACTTCTGTGTTCCATAACCTCAACATACTGTGTAACTGAATCCCCCCATAAACAAGGCAATATTGAGAGTGTAAATGACTGATTCACAGCAAAAAGAAACTATTGTACGTCTAGGTTTTACATTAGTAGCTTAAGAGGTTTGTCGATTACTTAAGTAGTACAGTATGTCTCCTCAGTATAAAATAAAACCAATAATGTCATCGTGATTTAATAATGATGTTAGGTGTGGTGTTCAGTATTTGATATTTGGGTTAAAGTTGCCATAAGCAGTTGATTAAGAAAATGTTTAAAGAACTTTTCAGAAAATATATTGCCTTGTTGGTATCAGTGACTGTAGGTGGTACTGTATGTCTATGACAGAAGTTGCCCAGAGAATGAAATACTCTGCTTCAACAAACAGCAGACTAGGCCAGGTAGCCGACAAATAGACCATGAAGAATACCATGGAATTAAGAGAGTTACTGCACCACACTGGATCAAAACTGTCAAGATACATCTGCATTATCAATATCAGACTACTGTGGCAATATTAGAACTTGTAGGAATAAACTCCCACCACGATTCTCACAAGGACTTGGGTCCTTGAGCCAACAGCTCCTGCAGTCAATCCTACAGTCTTAGGGTTGAAATGGCAATGACTTCCATAAAACCTGTCACACCACTGTCAGTCTGTTTCCCTAATCTCCAACCAAACACCTGTGGGATCAACTTGACTACTGCATGTCATCAAAATGAGATAACCAAGAACATACAGTACCACAGCAGTCTGTTCATTAGGACTACTGTACAGTATGTGTCAGTGCTGCTTTCAGAGGCAGTGATCCTTTCCTCTGCTTTTTGTACATGTCCTGTGATTTTGTGTGTGAATTTTGTTGCGTTACTGTCTATTTGAAATCTATTAAACCTTACCTAATACTGTTTTTCTTTTGTTCCTCACTCTATTTATATAGGGGCTCAATAATAATCAATACAATAAGCAGTGATATATGAAAAATAGGTTGGGGAAACGCATGCTGTAGATAATTTCCATTTTTAAATGGGGACACCTGTATTTCCAAAAATAATAATTAATGGCATTTTCTCTCAAATTCAATCAAACTCACTTCTCGTATAAAACAATATCAGGCAGCCAAATATTTTCAGAAGGAACTCTGATGGAAGTTATTCCTCCATAGTCCTCTGGGTTCCAGCGCAGTTTGTAGTCAACCCACTCCTACAGTATGTGGACAAAAACACGCTTTCTGCATTAAGACACATACAGGACCTGCATTTGCAGTTGCATAAGACATTTCAGTAATCTAATCAACCGTATAGCCTGAGTTCATTCCACTCACCATGAATCAGATAATATGAAACCAAAAAAGAAAACAGCTTTCACATTTACAGTCAGCTTTCAGTGTTCAACACCATCACACAGTATATTGCCATTGACAAGTCTGGCACAGTGAGTTGCAGATTATTCAGAAACCTAATTGTACTGTATCATTTTTTTTTAAACTTTGACAGCATCATTGCTCCTTTTGTCTGACTCTTTGATAGTCAGACCTACAGCAACATACAGTACAAACAGCAATTGGGTCTTTCAATCCCTTTAATATCCACCGGTTTAGGAGAATAATTATTGAATATACAGTGATACCTCTGTACTCTCTTTTCTTGCACTAATTACAGTATATTAAATATTAATTTATGGAATTACATGAATTATTTATAATTATACAGTATCTATTAATATATAGACATTAGTTTGGAATGACCAACTTACATTGACATCAGCTTTGGGAAATTATATAAAATATTTTTTTCTGAATATTTTTGGTATATTATCTTATTTTCTCTGGGAATATGCCTTTTTCTTGTTCCTTCTAAATCAAAGATGTGTACAACGTTCTGCATATTTGAAAACATGATTTCCTTACCTGCAACAGCCAAACATTTGTGGTCATAAGCTGATTTTTTTCATCCTGCAAAAAATACAATATAACCTCTTTAACAAATTAATGGTCTAGGTGATACTTCAATAAAAAACGTTTTCTTTTCCGTTTTCCAGTTTCACTAATGTAGATGGGAGAGTACTGAAGATTATAGATCTCTCCATGCCTCCATACAGTAATCTCCCTTTTTACCTCTTCTGCCCATGACTGAACCAACCTTTTTTTTTCCTTTTTGCCTCCAGAGCTTTTCACCTCTCTCCCAGATTTACTTTCACCTATACATTCTTTCTCCTCTGCTCTATCCTCCATTCTCCTGTGTTTTATACTCCTGATAACCTACTGTGTTATTATCACATCTGAAGAAGGCTCAACAGCCAAAATATGGTATTTCTTATTTCTTTGTGCTCTTCAACATGGAGGAGAAATATGTTGCTTGTTCAACATGGAGCTCTTCAACATGGAGCAGAAATATGTTGCTTGTTCCTTTACAGAAATCTAGCTTGTCGATGGTGTGTCTGCAACCCACTTATTGATAGACTAAGGAAACCAGGCACAAGGATTTTTTCTCCTCTAAATATTACGTACAGTAAGAGTTGAGACTTCTCTTGGTAGTCATTTTTTTTTGTTTTAGAATATGCTCCACAATAAAACCAAATGGAGCACTAAAAGCATCAGAATCAATAAAACTCAGAAGGAACAAATGAAGACATCTTGCTTGCTCAACTAAAGAGAAAACAGCGGGCCAGAAAAAAAATATCTGTTGAGATATCTTCCTTGTGAAGACTACTGTACAGAAGTGAACAGGAAAAGCTGGCACCTGCAAGCAAAAAAACAGAGTATACGGTCATGCTGGCAAAACTTTCATATTTGCAGGTCAATTTGAATGGAATATGAGCTGAGCAGCAATATAACTAAGGTGCTTTTGTGGAGAGCTGCCAAACGACATTATAAAAGAGGGTTATCTTTAGGTAACGAAGCCTAGAGAAGTGTTTCTGAGAAGTCTTCTATTTCAGCCATGTCAGCTTCACCCTGATCATTAATTCATTAAAGAGACCTCTAGTAACACTGAATTGATAAGACGTCTGCAATATAGAGATTTCCTACTCTCTGTTACAATAGCTAAGACACTCAAGAAATTTCAGTCCAGGTTCCACATCAAGTGTTACTGTTTTTATGACCGTTCTGTTCACAACTCTGATTTGCTTTACTGCGTATCTGTGATGACTTTAATTTAGCCACAGACTCTGGTATTTCATCCATTCTTATTATGCTACAGTATGTCTCTATACTGTATCTGTTTACTGTATTTAATATAATATTTTTTTACATAAATAAAATGACATTTCTCATATGTTGGAAGACTGTAGATTGTTTGGCCTCCTGTCTTACAAAATAAGTTTATTATGTTTCTCTATATAGAATTAATTTGCTGATTATAAACTGTATGTTTTTAGTGGGGACCACCCCACTAACTGCCACTGCTTAAAACTCTAACAGAGAATCACATTTATGTAAGCATTATTCTCAGTTACGAGTGTAAAATGCACTATGAATACTTGCTGTAGCATGATCAGAATTTCAGAGATTTTAATCCGATTTGAGAAATAGTTCTCATTTTTGGCTTTTTTGGTTCCATGCAAGAAGTGAAAGAATGGTCACATCTCTAATAAAAACACTGGCTTTTCCTGAAAATAACTGAGGTTTCAAGCAGAATCAATTTGTCAAATGTCCAACCCTAACAAGAAAGTCTTCTTTTTAATTTTTATTAATTTTTACAGGGAGCTTTAACAAAAACTATAACTATCTATAAATCTAAATGTACCATAAAGTATGCTATGTTTGTACCTGATGCTGCTTGTTGAAAAAAAAAGTGTTACTTAAGCAAGACGTACTTTTCTAAATTTAAATTGACTATCCCTTAAAATAGCTCCCCCTTCATAAAGAAGCCCCTCTAGTCTATTTTTAATTATTATTAATTCAATACCATTCCATGCACTAAAAGTCAACTGTATTGGTCTTTAAACACTGGGTTCTGTTTTATCACCCTTTTTATTTGTTCAAAATAATCAAATAAATTAGCTATTGCTTATCTTTATAAGCATTTTTCCAAATGGTGTATATTTCTCATGTTTTGAGCAGCTGTTGGAGTAAATAACATACAGTAAATAACATTTCTTAAGTACATCCAGTCCAAGGAGATTTGTTTATTCTTTGTGCTTCAACTACCCATAAAAAATCTACCACATCTATGATAGCATTATTTAATCCTCAGACATGTTTATTGTTCCTTCCTTGGTAAACATCTGAGTGAAATATTAATTTCATAAATCAGATGGCTGAAATAGTGTTGCATATCTGGAATATCTTTAATTACTTTGTAAGAGATTGCCACATTACAGTATGTAAACTGAAATATAAAAAGCACAGTTAAAAATATATATAATTGATACATTTAGGTTATAAACCTTCTTATTTTATTCCAAACCATTTGCTTAGCATCAATATTCCTAACAATACAGGTTGTGTTATTTGTAAGCTAAAAGATATCCCTATTTTACATTCTGAGAATATATGATATTATATGGATAGAAGTCTAAAGTGTTGCCTGTTTTGCAGTTTTTGCAAACTGACATTCATGATACAAAGGAATGGTCACAAAGATGGAAAGATGTCCTGATTGATTAGGTCATGATTGGTCATGTGAAGACCTAGTCAGGCCTCCAATATACAGTACAGTACTGTACTTATAGGACAAAGGCATTATTCTCTTGATAAGGGAAGCATATCGGTTCTTTTTGTGTTTTTCTTTCTTGATTTTTGGCAGGCCTGACATTTGCCAGGTTTAATCACCTCATTACCTTGCCCCAGTCACATAGTTTACTATTACGTTATTAGAGATATCAATAAAACCCAAAGAAGCCTCCACAGCCAAAACGTTGTGTTTCTTTTCTTCTCTTTTTGGCATGGAATAAACCTTTACTTGTTCCCTGACATCAATAAAAGTCACTTTAGTCCATCAGGGTCATTCATCAAATGATCAATTAATCAAACTGATATGTTTTCAAATTTGTGTCACAACCAATTGATCAGTATTGAAAATCTATATACTGTATTTTTCACACAAAAACTACATTCACAAACAGAATAACCTGTTTCTTTTGAGGCACAGAATATGATGGTCGCATTATGACTTTACTACTTTATTGTTATTAATAAAATAATAAGTAATAGGTTTATTCCATGCTGAAAAAAGACGAAAGAAAACACAATGTTTCAACACCAGTTGACACCTAAAGAAGGCTCCATGGCCGAAACGTGTTTTCTTTCATTTTTTTTCAGCATGGAATAAACCAATTACTTGTTCCTTTGCAGCCTACGCATGCTGACGCAGCTCCCCACCTTAATAAAAAAATGTTTGAAGCCATGACAAATTCAAAAAGACAGCGAAGTTTAACAATAAAAGAGAGATTTTGAAAACAGGAGGAATTTCTTTACATTCTCGACATGTTGTCAAAGCTGATATTCTAGGTTCTTTCATCGTAAGAGCTAGATGAGATCCTTTGATCTAGCAACCAGCTAGTGGCTTCCCCATGTTTACAGCCTTAGGCTTTGCTCTCATCAAGCTTCTCCTGTCACAACAATCATTGTGTCATCTGAAAGCACACGTAAACAGATACCATTTCCGTGAACTTTGCAACTTGATCAGTTCAACGTCATTGGGCAGGTTTATGAAAGTATTGGATGAAAAACAAAGAACCACTGAAGGGATGTTGTGTTGGTAATAAAGGAGATAGTTCAGAAGTGGAAAGTACACCAGGGTTGATTTATGGAGAAATGTATTTTGTAAAATTAACTGATCCATTTTTTTCCGCTATTTGATTTCTGGCTGTCACTATGAAGACATAAATTGTTTCAGGGCACTCCATCGTGCTCTCGTGACGGAAGAAGGAAACTGTATTTTTAATGTGCTCATCAAAACGGGCAGAGAAGCCCATATGCTAAAAGGCTTAGCAAGATCTTTACGGTTGGTCTTAAGTGAATGTTGTGCTAAAGCTGGCAAGTACAGTACCTCTTCAGAAGCCAAGTGCACTTTCAGGACAAAAAGACTGCATAATGGAACCATTAGGAAGCTAGACAATACATTAAATATAAATAACGTGCATTGAAGATGGTCATCAAAAAGCAGTCGGAGGAATTCAGACTCGTGAAGCAGTGTGGAAACCCTGCCCTTACTTTGATGTGGTTGTTGGTGTTGGTTTTTTAACGTAAGCAGGTGTTATTTTTATTTTTCAGTACAAAATGCCTTGTTCCACTAATACTTCTCAATATGAAGTAGGTAACTCCTATGAGTAAAACTGCAGGACTTTTTTTACCGTTGGACCATACAGTACGTGTTTGTTTTCAATGTTTTTGATTAAATAAGGTACGGTGAGTATTTCTGAGGAGAACTAGCATTACCCATGTTTCAGGTTCTGATTTACTTACAGTGAATTGTGAATAAAAGTTGGAATTGTAACTGATGGTCATCTATAGGTCTGGTTTGCATATTTAAAAGCTTAGTCAGGTGCAGTGAGCAATATGATGAGATTTTAGAAGAAACATCAGCATGGTGAGCAGCTGGGACCTACAAAAGGCATGATCCTGACCTGGGTTGCCTTTTCCGTGGAGTTTGCATATTCTCCCTGGGTTTCTGTGGGTTCTATGAAGGTCTGTTGTACTCTCACCTTCCAAATACATGCCGGTCAGATTCATGATCTAATTTGCCTTTGTGTACTTATGTGGGCACTGTGATGGACTGGTGTCCCTCCAGGGTGTTGTCACACCTTAGCCCCTACGCAGGCTGAGTTGCAGGTTGCTGTGATTAAGCATCTTTGATTTCAGTATGTCTTCACACTTCTTTTTTGCTGCGTTGTTATTTTTTGTCAGAGGATGAAAATTATGTCACCTGTAAAGGCAATCAGAGAACACATTTTTGCCAGGACAACCTTCTGCTGTATTTCAAGACACTGGCCAAATCAAGATGAATGAGTTTCGCCACAACATGCATATATTTAATTAAAGCACACATGAAATATGATCAGATTGCCAAGCACTTTCCTCCTTTGAGGCCATCCATCATTATTAAATACTGTTAGAGGATTCTTCCATATAAACAAGCACTAAAGCGCAGAGTCAACTGTAAAAGACAACAATTCTTAATTTGCGGAGAACTTTTATGGGACCTGCCACAGCAGGGTGACTGCAACAACATTCCTTTACTGTTTTTCTGCAACTGAAGTGAAAAGTGCATGAATCAAAAAACATAACCTGCAGAGCTGAAGGCACTTTAAAAGTATTAGCCTGTGATGTGAACATACCAGGGAAATTGATAGTCCATCTTATAACAAAGTCAGCTAGAGCTCTACATGATCCAGTATTTTCTTAAGGCATTTGATCATTTTTTATCAGTTTAATTCCTGTGACAATGACATCACAATAATGTTCTTGCAAATACTGGACACTGTCCTGCAGAAGACAATGTTTTTGCACAAGTACAAGCAAATATTCACTGCATTGTCATCACTTTGGCTGTGACAACCAAGTTAGGAGAAATAATCAATAACAAGCAGTATAGACCCTAGGTAGGCTAGACCAAGTTCACACAGATTGGAATTTATTCATAACACTGGGGATAACACCATCAGTCTTCTGAACTTTGTCATGAGATCTTAAGTGACCAAGAACTCAGGACTTCTTTTTAATGTCTCATTAGAAAGATGGCACCTCCTACAGTACACCCTAACCCCCTGTCTTACTGCACTTGGGTAGCACCAGCTAAGGTTGTTTGGTTAAGGTTGGTTTTAACCTTAACCAGGTTTGTCCCTGTCTGCAGGTCTTACTTACCATGTAACCATGTAGTACTGCCCCTTATCCTTTATTACACGCTGCCACACCTGGACTTATCACTCGCTTAACCTTGAATAAATTGTTTAAAAACAAAGAATTTGCGTCCTCCTGGTGGCTCAACTCTTAACTGACACTCCAGATCCAGTCGCCCTCTTACACTCATGTTAAACATTCAGGTGATTGGCTGATGAAAGAAGCTGCCCAAGGTTGGAACCTTAGTAATAACGACACCATCCAAGTGGTGGTGCAGGAATGAATTATCAACCAGTATAATTTAATCATGAGTGCATTTATACCCTTGTGAAGCAGAGTTGTTGGGGGGGGGGGTGCTGCTTAGATGAAAAATACCCATGGGAAGTGTATTGGGTGAATAATTCACCCATTCACTTTATGTAGTTTGCCTTGTATCATGGTCTCCAGACCAATATTTCAGATTTCCTGTACATGTATACATGTTATTTGAAATGAGATCCTTGGATTTTGCATCCTATTGTTGGTTCATGTACTATATAAGTACACATGAGACACGACAGATAAGGACACCCATACACTGTATTTTTCCAGTCGTCTACTGTTACCTAAGACCTTCCACACATATGTGATAGAAACACGCAAGAGAAAACTGATATTGAATATTTTGCTGTATGGATATATACTGTCAAATTTGCAAACCAAAGCATGGTGGAGACTGTTTGATCAGTCACTCGCATGTTTGTGTAGGTGTGCAAAGACTTCACCTTTAAAAATAAATAAATCGTCTCTGTTCTAGTCAATGCTGTGATTTTAACTTGACATAATGCACGATATCACAGTTGTAGATGACTTGTTTTATGTTGTGAAACATCCTTTTGTCTTAACACTGTACTTGTACTATTTACAAACCTTAAATGATTATTACTTACATTTTATTTAGGCTTTCTTAGCAATTTTAATCATGTTTTCACTTAACAATATTTCTAGATAACGGTAATTTACTTGGGATTGTCCTGGGAAGACCAGGACAAAAAAGACACTTGTAAAAATGTGCCAGCGAATTTGTACTCACCACATCCACAAGCTGAGAAATCTTCAGTCCAAACCTGACTGTTATAGTATCATTGGAGTGCTGAACAGGCCTTACCCACTTTTGATAACCTCTAAACAGATTTTTCAGGAGCGCGTCCTCCATTTCCGCCAGAGAAACAAAATCGTCAAAAGCTGCAGAAAAGATATAAAAAGTCAATCAAGGCTATCCTAACAGCTTCAGGAGCCAAAAAATAATTGGAGCACGATGGCTAGTATTACTGTGAGACAAATGCAGGATCTGGGTTCAATTCCAGGCTAATAGACTCAATATGTGACATTCATGGGAGGCTACTGTAACTTTGACTTAATATACAGTATGTAAAAGACAACAGCCTTTGTTTTATCCAATTTACTAATTAAATATATTAGGTGTTTTTTGTAAAAAGGCAGTTTTCATGTTCAATTTAACTGTTTCAATTATTCAATTAATAGCTTCAGCGAATTAATGTAAAATAGCATAGCTGTGAGGATGAACATGATTATTATTACAGCGATTACTTAAAAGCGTCTGATCAAGCCTTGGTTACTTCATGGAAAAAAAAAAAACATTCAGCAGATCCATGACAGATCTTGAAACAACCTACAGTAGCTGTTTGACATGATGTCATTCCGTGAGTTGTTGTATATTGGGTCAATTATTATAGTACATAAGAAAATTCAAATCCATTTCTAAGGGGAGAAATCTTTAAAAAAAAAAAAAGAAGACTGGGCAGAAAACAAAACAGACAGCTATTTTCATTACTCTGTATATGTTATCTTAATATAATCATTTTAGACAACCAAAGCTAACAAAACAGCCATGTGGGAATAATAAAACCGCACCACATACTTTAATTTCATGGGTAAAGGTGGATGGACTGATGAACTAACTCTTTAGAATATGCTGGAAAAAGAATAAAACCTGACACGGGTTCTAATTTTAGTTCAGACCATTATGTAACACGAGGAATCCATTATCCTCATCTGAATGTATAACACAGTGCAATGATGCAAGAGCCTAGAAAAGCCGTTATAACACTGGAGAAGGACAGCAGCAGTCACTGATCAGACAGAATACGACTCCAATAGTGGCTGGCAGAAAAAGCCACAAGCTAACAGTGTTAAATGCAACTCAGTGGTTCCTTTGAAATCGCATTATTCTCACTCATGTTACTCCACATGGATTTTTTTTGGGGGGGAAAATGGATTTATTGCATTTTATCAAATTGTTTTTGTACTAGAAGTGTCATTTAGCCTTGTGCTGAAGTTAAGATTTCTGCCTTTTCAGTTCATCAGCACACTGGTGGGTTTGAAAGATAGTAAACCGTAAAAAAACATGAAAAAACAGTTTGTGTTTTTCAGACTATAGCAGTCAACACATGGTACAACTGCATTTTTCTTTGTTTTATTTTAGATCATTTTCATTGAACAGCCAGTCATGAACAAGAACAGGTACTTTGGGACGTATTGTATTTTCAGAAAGACAAATATTTATGAAAGGATTCCAAAAAGGATCTCCCCTGACAGCCACTGAATTCTACAGTATGTCTTTTTCACAAAAGGACAGTGATGTTGCTACAAAGGACATCAGTCCATCTTCAAGTACTACTATTTGTTTCTGGAACTTCATATTTCTAGTTTATGATAAATATAACAAAAAACAGAAATTGATTGAAGACAAGTGGTTTTGAAACAAGTAAACGTAACTAGTAAAGTAAACTTAGGGGTAACCAGAAAGATACCTACAGTACTGTATCATATGTGGAAATCAGTGATCAAACAGTTTTTGAAGAAGAGCAGTTAATGATATGTACAGTACAGTAGCAGACATTGCACATCAACAGTAGACTAAAGGAGTTGTCATATATACATGTACATTGGAATTCTTGATTGTGCCAATCTCTCAGGACACACAGTACACTGTACAGCAGACAACACCACACAATGTAGACAGTACATTACGGAATGGTACTGTACCTAATAGTGATAGTATGTATGGTCCATAAAAAACAGAACAATATATAGGTGGCAGAAAAGAATAAATACATGTTAGTAAGCAAAAATACATGGTAGTCTAATTGAAAAGTGCATAGTGCAAAGGTGTATTGAGTTCTGAGGCACTGCACAGTTACTGTTTATTATGCACGCTACCAAAGGGTAGACACTGCTCTTTATCCTAGTGGTCTGTGCTTTAATGGTGCAGTACCGCTTGCCAGAGCACAGGAGAGAGAACAGTTT